CATATCTCTTCCCTCTTGTGTCTCCCTCCCTATCCCACCCCTCTAGGTGGTCACAAAGCACCAAGTTGATCTCCCTGTGCTATGTGGCTGCTTCCCACTAGCTATCGGTTTTACATTTGGTAGTGTATATATATCCATGCCACTCTCTCACTTTGTCCCAGCTTACCCTTCCCCCTCCCTGTGTCCTCAAGTCCATTCTCTAGTAGGTCTACATCTTTTCCTGTCCTGCCCCTAGGTTCATCATGACCACTTTTCTTTTTTAGATTCCATATATATGTGTTAGCATACAGTATTTATTTTTCTCTTTCTGACTTACTTCACTCTGTATGACAGTCTCTAGGTCCATCCACCTCACTACAGATAACTCAGTTTCGTTTCTTTTTATGGCTGAGTAATATTCCATTGTATATATGTGCCACATCTTCTTTTGTCGATCTTTTCTTTTATTACATTGGGCCTTTGAGTAATAGTTAGAAAGCCTTTCCCTTCAGACTATAGAATCTGAATGGGTGTAAGAATTCACCCATGTTTTCTTCTAGTATATGTATAGTTTCATGTTTTACATTTAAATCTCTGATCCATTGGATTTTATTATTGTATGTAAAATGAGAAGTGGATCTAATCTTATCCTTTTCCAGTGACTATCCAGTTGCCCCCCAAAATTTTATTTAAAGGTCTGTCTTTGCCCAGTATTTGAGATATTACCTTTATCATATACTAAAGTTCCATATGTACTTGGGTCTATTTGGGGGCTTTCTATTCTGTTCTTTTGTTCTCTTTACCTATTCATGCACCAGTACTACACACTATTTTAAATATAGAAGCTTTGTAAGGATGTTTGAATATCTGTTAGTCTCCTCTCATAGCTCTTTATTTTCATTGTTTCCCTAGCTGTTCTTACATGTTTATATTTCCTTATGAATTTTAGTATTAACTTGTCTAGCTTCATTTAAAAAAAATCTCAGGACTTCCTGGCAGTCCAGTAGTTAAGACTCTTTGCTTCTACTGTAGTGGGTGTGGGTTTGATCCCTGGTTGGGGAACTAAGATTCCACATGCTGCATGGTGTGGCTAAAAAAACAAAATGAACAAACAAAAAATCCTCATTGGCATTTTTATTGGGATCACGTTAAATTTATAAGTTTTCTTAGGGGAGAACAAATAATGATGTTGAGATATCCTAATGAAGAAAAGGGATATTTCTTAATTTGTTCAAGTCTACTTTTGTGCCTTTCATGAATATTTTATAGTATTTTTTATATTAGATTTGAATATTTTAAAAATTCTTTTATGTTCTTTATTGTTTCTGTTATAAATCTTTTTTTACTCATTGTGTTTTCTAACTAGTTATTATTTGTGTATATGAATAGTATTATCTTTGCATTTTAACTTTACAGCCTGGTACCTTGCTGAATTATTTTATTGAGTTAGTTTTATCATAAATTCTCTAGGGTTTCCATGCTATACTGTTATATCATCTGTAAATAAAGATAGTTTTGTCTTTTAGTTTCTAATTCTTATTCCTCTAATTGTTTTCTCCTGTCTAATTGCATTGGCTAATAGTGCTGGAATAATGTCAAATAACAGTTGAGACAGTAGCATCCTTGTTTTGTTTCTGACCTTAAAGTAAATGACTCTTGGGGTTCCCTATTAAGTAATATGCTGGCAGTACGATTGAGGGGTGTGTGTGTGTGTGTGTGTTTGTGTGTGTGTGTGTGTGTGTGTGTAAAATGGAAGTGTCTGTCCATTCCTGTTTTATTTTTTTAAGAATTTTTATTAGGAATGACTTGGATTTTATCAAAGGTTTTTCAGCATCTATGGATATAGTCATGATTTTTCTCCTCAGACTCATTAATATTGATGAATGATATTAATTTTCTAATGTTGAATCATTCTTGCATTCTTAGTATAAATTTCATTTCATCATGGCATATTCTTTTCTTACTGTAGTGTTGGAGTCTGTTAGCTAATGTATCACTTAGAATTTTTGCATCAATGTTCATAAATGATTTCCATCTGTAATTTTTCTTTTTGTATGTATACCATCTTTATTAGGTTTATATATCAATGCTTCATAAAAGATTGTGGATGTTTTCTTTCATTTTCTATGTTCTGAAACAACATATATAGATTTGGGACTATCTGGTTGGCAGACAGTTCTCCCGTCTTCCATAAATTTCTTGCATTTCTGCACACCCTGCAAATTAGGCACTAACTGCCCTTTGTTTCCTACTGTACCAGTTTTGTTCCCTTTGTGTAGTGCAAGATCTCTTCCAGTCTCAAAAGATACAGCATCTCCCTAAAAGTAGTAAATGGCCGGTTTCCATACAGCCCTAGAAGATACAGCTAGTCCTGCCTCTAGAGCAAAAAGCAAACATGCTCATTGCCTAGTATAATAAAGGTAATGTTTCCCTTCTGAATAGAGGACTGGCATGCTTACTGCCCACTGTAAAATATTCAAGTTCCATATCTCAGAATCTCCTGTAATGCAGCCTACTGTGGGCTCAAGTATTATCCGGCCCTTTTTGCATTGTCCTATGGTAACTGGGGCTTAGGAAACTGACCCCCAAATGCTGATATCCTGGCTACTGCTTCTGCTGTCATTAAATAACTGTCTTTCATCTCTGATCCAGGATTCTTGTGTATTCTTCTAGCAACCATGAAATTGTAGCAGTCTAACCTGTTAGCTTGCAAGTAGGGTAAAATTTCACACTTTTTTTACTTCTTGACACTGGTCTTTAAAGTTGTGGTAAAAATTTCCTAGAAACCATTTTGTGAAATAGTTCTTTGGTAACTTTCTCTATTTCTTCTATGGAAATGAGTCTTTAAGCTTTTTATCTTTACTGTTCACTTTAAAATTTGTATGTGAAAATTTTAAATGTAAAATTTTAAAATATGCTCAAAGCTCATTTGCTTGGAGTAAAGGGGTGGGGTCTTTTTTTTTAATTAATTAATTTTATTTATTTATTTTTGGCTGCACTCGGTCTTCATTGCTTGCTCGTGGGCTTTCTCTAGTTGCAGCAAGCAGGGGCTACTCTTCGTTGTGGTGTGCAGGCCTCTCATTGCGGTGGCCTCTCTTGTTGCGAAGCACGGGCTTTAGGCACGCGGGCTTCCATAGTTGTGGCACGTGGGCTCAGTAGTTGTGGCTCGCGGGCTCCAGAGCGCAGGCTCAGCAGCTGTGGTGCACAGGCCCAGCTGCTCCGCGGCATGTGGGATCTTCCTGGACCAGGGCTCGAACCCACGTCCCCTGCATTGGCAGGTGGGCTCTCAATCACTGCGCCACCAGGGAAGCCCTGGGGTCTCTTGAATACACTTCATTTTTACATTGCTTTTTATTTTCCTCTGAGGTCTCTTTTGCTTATCTTTCATGAAGAACCATTATTGTTATTTTAGATAACTATAGTGCCTTCTTAGCTTACAGTAAATAAGTAGCTAAAGTTATAAAGATGAACGTCCTTTCTGTGTTTTCCTCTAGGTGGTAGTTGTACAGTCATTATAAAGGTGCATGTCCTTTTTGTTTGTTTTTCTACAGGTGGTGGTTGTACAGGCAATTAGCGCGCTCTGTCAGAAATACCCTCGAAAGCACAGCGTCATGATGACTTTCCTCTCCAACATGCTCCGAGATGACGTAGGTGCACTACTTTTTAATCATGTGAAGTTGCTCTCTTAAATTCTTACGCCATAGTATTTAAAGCAGCTTTATCATCTCAGTATGCATCTCAAATAGTGTGCCTAATTCTGTTTTCTGTCTTATTACTAGACATGCTATTGCTTTGGCTTTCCCACTTGGAGGAAAAAAACGCTTTTGTTTTTTTCATAATGGAAGGGAAATGAAATCTGAATGTTATAGCATGAGCCTTGGAGTATAAGCATTTCTCCAAAAAGTATCCTCAGAATGAATGGCAGTTTTCTCTTTTGCCAGGGAGGCTTTGAATATAAGCGAGCCATTGTGGACTGCATAATCAGCATTGTGGAAGAGAACCCTGAGAGTAAAGAGGCAGGTCTAGCCCACCTTTGTGAATTCATCGAGGACTGTGAACACACTGTTCTGGCTACTAAGATTCTACATTTGTTGGGCAAAGAGGGCCCCAGAACGCCTGTCCCCTCCAAGTATATCCGCTTTATTTTTAATAGGGTGGTACTGGAGAATGAGGCTGTCAGAGCTGGTGAGTCATTGCAACACTAATAGTGGTGTAACTGCTGATCTTGTGAAATGCTTATTAACTCAAGGGGGTGGTAATGAAATTGGAAAATGAAGTTGCAACGTCTATTTGATGGTGGGATCTTGGAGCACACTTAAGCCCCAGATGTACAGCTATTTCTTTGTATTCCAATTTCCATCCTGATTTCTGCCTGTATCAGAGACAAATAACCCTTGACTTTCGGTATGACAGAAGATTATGATGGCGTCATCCATTTTTTCCGAGTTATGGCCATAAGTATGAATGTCTGTGAAATTTGTGTGTCTTTCTGCCTCTGTAGTTTTATTTTATTTTATTTTTTTGTGGTATGCGGGCCTCTCACTGCTGTGGCCTCTCCCGTTGCGGAGCACAGGCTCCGGACACGCAGGCTCAGCGGCCATGGCTCACGGGCCCAGCCGCTCCGCGGCATGTGGGATCCTCCTGGACTGGGGCACGAACCCGTGTCCCCTGCATTGGCAGACGGACTCTCAACCACTGCGCCACCTGGGAAGCCCTCTGTAGTTTTTAAGTGACTTTTTAAACAGGTCTTAGGGTTTTTTTACTTCCTCCTCCCCTTAGCATGTGAACTGGTACAAATCTCCCCTGTTAAAACTATAAGCCTTCCTTTGATCCAATGTCTCTCACTAGCTACTGACCATACTTCCCTGTTATGTAACCTTGTAGGAGCTATTACTAGCTGCCCCTATGAACTTATTCTCCATTTTCTCTTCAACTCACTATAATCTTGCTCTCTCCCTTAAAAATCTTCTGAAGCTATTTTTTTTGGTAATTACTTATAAGCTAGTTGGAAAATCAAGTTAGACACTTTAATGTTCTTACCCTTGTTCACCTCAGTCAATTTGATGTACTGTTGGCATAAACACTTCATGAAACTCTCTTCCCTTGGTTTCCACAATAGCCTGCATCTTTCCATCACTCCTCAGTCTTATTTATAGAGTTTCTGTTCCGTTCCTTAAAACGTTAGTTTTCCTTAGGGGTTTGTCTTCTCAACATACACATTCATTCTGGTGATCATTTCCAGAGCTCTGCTGATATGCTGTGGCATTGCAGTCTCTTTCGTGAACTTGCACGTCTAGCTATCTAAGGCACTTTAAATTCAGCTTGAAATTCAAATTATCCCAAACAGAAATCCTCACCTATATCATCCACTCAGTTGCAAGGCTAGAACCTTACCCTATTGTTTTATAACCCCCATCTATCCTTTGGCAAAGTTCTTTCCATTCTGTCTCCTCAAAATGCATTTCTTCATTGTCTTTTTTCGTAGATTTCCTGAGGGCTGCATTAGGCTCCCATCCATTTCAGTTGCCCAACTAGTCTGACTGCCTGTAGTCTCGCCCATATCCAGTATATTCTCCACACTCTGCTACCAAAGTGGTCATTAGACATAAAATCTCACAAATTTAGAGTAGTACACTCTGCTACAAACACACAGATTCATCCTGTAGTTAACACCCGTTAATAATAGCCTTGAGGTTGAACCATAACCGAATTTTGTTTTGTCTCTAGTCTCTCACTTTTCTCCTGCTCTCCAGCACAGGTCTAGTGCTTCAGCCTTGCTTAGCTGTGTCCAGTCCCAGGATCTTGCCACACTTTCTTGTCTGGCCTGAGGGCCTTGGTACTTTTTATTCTCTCTCCCTCAAATGCTCTTTTCCTGCCCTCTGGCTAACTGTATTTGTTCTTCAGACTTTAGCTCAAGTAATAAGTGTCAACTCCTTGTCTGTCTCCTCCTTCTCCAATTCTGACTTACGTTCCTTTCTCTACTCACATAGTACCCTGAATATAGTCCTACCATGGACTTTCTGTGCTATGTTCTAACTACCTCTTTACTTACCTGTCTTTCCCACTGGAGTACAACTCCTTGATGTCTTCTGTCTTTCTGCCTCCAGCATCTAGCACAACTCCTGACAAAGGTTAAGTAAGCAGTAAACCTCTGTTGATACAGTGACTTTTAATAATAGAGTTTTTTGGGTTTTGGTTTTTGTTTTTTAATGTGTGGGGCTGGTTGTTTAAGATTAGAGCTTAATTAATCAGTGTGGTATATAAGGAGCTGGACTGGAAGATAGCTCATATAAGGAATACATATGATCCTTTTTCCTCAATGCATGGCGGGTTTTCTTACTTAGAGCTCTCTTGGGCCTGCTGATTTCTATTTATGCTTAAATGGATCAAGGAAATAAGATCAAGAAACTCACAGTAAAACAATAAGAGTTTATTCCAACTGAACACGGGGACACTCCTCTAATTTTTTATTTTAAATGATGACTGCTTGACTCTGAGAAGCCAATATTCATGTTGTTTTGTTTTATGCTCCATTACAGCTGCTGTGAGTGCTTTGGCTAAATTTGGGGCTCAGAATGAGAATCTTCTCCCAAGTATCCTAGTACTCTTACAAAGGTAATTAAAAGAATGTCTTTTTCTTTTCTTTTCTTTCCTTTTTAAAATAAGAATGCCATGTGGCTGAATAGAGAATTCCTCATTGTACCATATCAAAATGCATTGCAGGACCTAAGAGTAGAGCTGATGGAGTCAGGGCAAATGGCATTTTTCTTATTCTTCTGGTAATTTTGCATGTGCTAAGTACATGTAAAATTTGACTTCTAATTTCTCTTGCATGATTTTGAGGAAGTGACTTAAATACATGTGCCTCAATTTGTATAACAGGGGCCAACTTCAAAGAGATTCACTATGTAGAGTTGAAAATACCAGCTTTTCATGGTCTCCTTGACTCCCTATTTGATGAGGAAAAGACTTGCTTTAGCAAACACTCTGTGATTACATCTTGTAATTGAAGCAGAAAAATTACAAGCCAAAGGCTGGCTGGTTTAAATCAAATAAATTGCCATTTGAGTGATATCAGTGCCTGGATTCGGAATGCTTTTTAGTATCCTTGGAAAGTATAATATTACCATTTTTAAATTATATTCGAAGTCTAAGTCTTTACCAGGGTCATGTGGTTGCAGATCCAAGAATAGAATCCAAACTGCTATTTTATGTTATTGTGTCCTTCCTAATTATTTTAACGCCTACTTATGTAGTGCTTCTGATTCATAATGACACCATTTCTTTACCAATTGAGAACAGTACCCGATATTTGTGGAGATTTTAGGATCCACCGTTGGCTGTTGTTGAGCTCTTTTATAAAGGCAGTATCAGATGGCCTGGATCGTGTCCTTTAGGTATAGTGGTAAAGCTATTGGAAATCATTACGGTGCTGTGACATGTATCTTCTGTATCCCTGGACAGGTGTATGATGGATACTGATGATGAGGTACGGGATAGAGCTACCTTCTATCTGAACGTGCTGCAGCAGAGGCAGATGGCGCTGAATGCTACATATATCTTCAATGGTCAGTGAGAGCCAAGAATGGAGACAAGTACACTTTTGTTCCACAAATGGTGTCTGAGAAGCATATCCATGATGATTTGCATATAAACTGGCTTCACTAGGCAAAATGCTTGGTTTCTGTCTTTGAATGCACTTCCATTTCTAGGGAGACCTAAAGTATGTAAAAGCCCAAAGAATATTGCTTTTTCCTGATCCTCCTTGAGCTCCCTCTTGGATGGGTTTACCTTTTTTTCCCTTATGCTATCATCGTTTCCATGTGTCTCCACTGCTTTGTTTTCTGGAAGATACTTCTATTTTGTTGAAAATTCCTATGCTCTGCTCCTATGCTTCCTTGGATGAAATTATAAGAGCCTTTATTTTTTATTATTTAGGTTATAAAATCTGTGGTTATAGTTTTCTTTGAAAGCTTAGATAAATATTACAAATCTGGGCCTATCTGGGTCCTAGGATTGGCAAGAAGTAGTGCTGAGAGTTTTCTGTTTCATAGGTCTGACAGTCTCTGTACCAGGGATGGAGAAAGCCTTACACCAGTACACACTGGAGCCTTCAGAAAAGCCCTTTGATATGAAATCTATTCCTCTTGCTATGGCTGCTGTCTTTGAACAGAAAGCAGGTAAGGGGAACACTGTTAGTTTTTCTATGTATAAGTAGTTTTACACCAATAAAATACACTGTTAGCATATTTTCTTTAATATTTCTTTTAATGGTCACTGCTTCTAATCTTACAGAACTAAGATGGATGATACTTTTTTTTTTTTTTTTTTTTTCCGGTACGCGGGCCTCTCACTGTTGTGGCCCCTCCCGTTGCGGAGCACAGGCTCTGGACGCGCAGGCCCAGCAGCCATGGCTCACGGGCCCAGCCACTCCGCGGCATGTGGGATTTTCCCAGACCGGGGCATGAACCCGTGTCCCCTGCATCGGCAGGCAGACTCTAAACCACTGCGCCACCAAGGAAGCCCCCTGGATGATTCTTTTTAAATTAGGGTTTTAAAATTTTTTCCCTTGTTTTCTCATGAAAGCAAGAATATGAATTGTGACTCAGATTGAAATTTTTTTTTTTTAATGCTAAGTGTTACAGTGTTTGAAGTTAGTTGTCACCGTGTGTTTCAGAGCAGTAATTGTGCTGTCACCTCTTATTTTTATTTTCCGATATTAGTTAACTTCTTAATTAATTTTTCTGTTGGAGGCTTAAAAAAATAAAGGAACAAAGTGTGTAGTGGTTAGAACCGAAAATGAAAGAGCTTATGCTTTCAACATTTTCAGGTTTTTTTGTTGGTACTATATAAGTAGTTTTTCCTGTTTGAATCACGAGGTTTGTTTTATAAACTGTTCCTCCTTTTAAGAGTAATTAAAAAAAAACATTTCGGTCCATTAAAGCAAATTTTGTATTTTTAGGACTTACTTTATTATTTCATAAAATATGTTCACTAAATACATTTTGAGTGTTCCTCCAAAAAAGATGACAGAGAACCTCCCGGTATGATTCAGCAATAGCACCTTATGTTTATCTGCTTAACGTTTCTGTCCTCATCTCCTGTCTGCATGTTTGGCTTGATAGTAGGAGGGAAGCTCATTTGATTGCTCATACTTGTCTTTGTAGAAATCACACTGATGGCTACTAAGCCCGAGAAGTTGGCTCCTTCCAGGCAAGACATTTTCCAAGGTATGATGATTTGATGTGTAGAAGCAGTAGCCTAGCACCCGAGGCATTGTAAGTATAATGAAGGCCACTACTTTTGTTCAATTTGATTAATTCTCAGTACGGGAGATCGTTGTATGGCCGAATATTGATTGTCCTAGCTTACAGTTGCGGGTGCTACCTGGAGTCTGTGGGACTTTCCAATTTCCAGTTGCCAGCTTACAGAGAATGCTTTTCTTACTCTGTATCAGGGAACTCAAATTCTATGAAATTAGGAATTAAGTTTGTCTGTCTGTTTGTTGCTTTTAGTAATTGAGTGTATAAACTCTTAAAAGATTATTTCACTAAAGCTTGGGGACACATTAGTTGAGTGTTCGACTATTAGTAAGACTATGGAAACTTAAAACATTTTAGACACCCAGAGTAATGTCTTCCCTGTCTTCTTACTTTCCTCCTCCTTTTCTTTCCTTTTTTCTTGATAGAACAACTGGCTGTCATTCCTGAGTTTATGAATCTAGGACCCTTGTTCAAGTCTTCTGAGCCTGTTCAACTTACAGAAGCAGAGACAGAATATTTTGTTCGTTGTATCAAGCACATGTTTACCAATCATATTGTGTTCCAGGTGAGATAAGCGCCAGAACTGGCTCCAGTAAGGGGTTTAGTATTAATCCCCTTTTAGTTTATGATTCTCGTTCCTTTTATAGAGAAGCAAATTTAGCAGCATATCTGGTTTTCTTTCCTAACTCCATAGCTGTAGAGATGTGATGGGTAGCTTTTGATGATTTAAATTTAAAAAGACATAAAACTGAAATGTCTGAAGAAGTTGGACAGCATAAAGTATAACCTGTGGAAAAAATAATCATCATTTAATATCAGGGTAAAATAAGTGTGTCATTCCAAGAACTTGGATTTCAGTTTGGTTCTCAGACAGCTATCAGACTTCTACCATCTTGTTTGGTAGAACTCAATCTCAGGAAGGAGGAAAACACTGGTTAATATAAACAAAAGAGACCTCAAGAATAAGGTTATCCTCGTTGCCTCAGGAAAAATCTTAGGGGGAGACATGCGTGGTGTTTAGAAAGTATAGAGGGTTCCAGAACTCAGTCGTGGGTTATGGGTGGGAAGGAACAACTTGCTTGCAAACAGTTCTTCTCCTTCATAACTTTCCTATTTGCTGACTTTTCAGTTTGACTGTACCAATACTCTCAATGACCAGCTACTGGAGAAAGTGACAGTGCAGGTGGAACCATCAGATTCCTATGAAGTGCTGTGTTGTATCCCAGTCCCCAGCCTACCTTATAATCAACCAGGAATATGCTACACGCTTGTTCGTTTACCTGATGATGACTCTACAGCAGGTAATAACACACAGAATGGAAGAGATATGATTAAGAGTGCATTACCACTTGAGCTCTTAAATGTTTGGACAGATGTTTGGGGTTCAAGAATTTGTTTCTTTTCTGGAATTAAATGATGGTATATTTATAAAATGAGTTACTGCTTACAGAAATATTAATTTTATAACCAAGTTTCTGAGTAAAATATGCTGGACATTTAATTGTAAAACAGAAACTGGATGTATACAGTGGTAGCCCAAAAAGGAACTCAGACTTTCTGTTGGAACAGTGTCACCACTAGTGAGGGTTCATATACCTGATGTCTCCTATGAAGGATCATGGTCTACTTCTCCCTGAATGTTTCTTTCCAGGGCATCCTAAGGACTTTTTATTTAGTAGATCCATGGCATCATAAAATATATTGTTTTTAAGGGTCCTGTAACACGAGGCAAGTGTCTAAGAGTATGTCTCAGCCTAATGAGTGGCTTAGCCAACATCTGTGTATCCACATTTGAGAAGGGCTTGTAATCTGCTTGACCTGTATGCAGTCTTGGGGGTGGGGTGGGGTGGGGGAGGCCTGTGAAGAACAGCCAATTGCTAGTGCCAGTGGTATTTACAAATTGGGGGTTTGAGATCTTCTAACCTATGAATGTCAAGTGTTTGTTGTACTTGATTTCTTTTTCCCATTTTCCCACCTGAGTTCTTTTCTTCCCATATTCACTGCAGAGTTTTCACAACTGTTACCCAGTTTTCACTGAAATAAGCACACACATTGCACTTACATTTTGAACAATTTTTATTACTAGTACAGGAAAAAACAATTTTTACTACTGATACAGGAAAAAACAATTTTTACTACTAATACAGGAAAAAACAATTTTTACTACTAATACAGGAAAAAACAATTTTTACTACTAATACAGGAAAAAACAATTTTTACTACTAATACAGGAAAAATCAGATAGAAGTTAACAAATATTGGGAAAGTTACAGAGTTACAAGAAATCGTAAAAGCACTAGTAAATAGTTATCCCTGGTCATCATTCATTACATTTGGGGCTTAACCTGTCTTCCCTTAGCCCCTCTCCCAACTCCCTTTTTAAATGTTGGTTCTGGGAGCCCCTGCCCAGTCTTACCTGTGTTGGATGATAGACCAGGCTACTCAACTCTAGCACGAGGTAGATTCAAGTTGGCACCATTGCTGGGTCTGAACCCCAGGTTGTTCCCTCTGGCCCTGGGTGGACCTGCAGTTGCGGCCACCCTGGATCCATAAGCTCCTGGGTAGGAAGGCACTTTCCTATCTGGCCTCCACTATTTCTCCTTCGAGCATTAGGCCATCCAACTTTAACCTTTAGTTACCTCCTTTATCCCTTTATGAGGTTTCTCTTATTCCATTCCCTTTTAGCTTCACTTTCTTTCCTGGTCTGTTTCCCTCTGGTTAGATTTGACTTATGTCCACCAGCCAGTAATTAAGCTGGCTGTACTCTTATGTAAATAAAGCTAGTTTTATTTACCCTTATTCTAAACCAGTATCTGGGCCCAGTCTTAATGTAGCCCTATGGCTTCTGCCATCATCCTGGGATACACCATACTTCTTCAGTTTTTTCCAGTAGGCACCTCTCCATATTTCAAAATTCTAACCCCATTTTACTTCCCACTAAGTTTCTGTTTTTTAAGGGATGCCATTACTTCGCCACTTAATTTTGGAAGCAAAATGCTGAACTCATTGGTTAAAGAATCAAGCTCTCCCCAATTGTGAATACTAGCTCCTCCCATTTCCCCAGGTTCACTTGGATAACTGATAACTCAGGTGCCTCACACCCCAGGGAGTGGTTCTAACAGAATACAATAAATACAATTTTACAATATCAAAATACATAAAACAACAATATTGAAATTACAGAAGTTACATATAGTATAGGAGAAAACAACAACAACAGAAAACACTTCTACTAAGACAGAAAGCATAGGGAGGTTTTCTTACCCCTCCTTACTGTGTAGTTAATTTCTTTTTAAAACAGATCTTACAAATTAGCCCAGAGGTTTCAACCTTTGGTCTGCTGGCTATGGACTCTTTTGCTCGATGGTTGTTAGTATTTTGTCTATAAAAATTTGTCATTTGGAGAACTTTCTTTCTTTTCTGTTAAATTCAAAGGGTTTGCTGGTTGGTGTTAAAACTTAGTTATAAACTCTTGTGATTGCATCTTGGAGAAAAGAAATGGAATTCTTCCAATGGAAGTCTCAACACTTGGACTTTTAAAATTTTGTTAGTAGTTGATTTACGTTTTACCTATCATTTACCTGCTTAAAAAAAAACTCCTTTCTATTCTTTAGTCTTTGTTAGAAACTCTAAAATTTTTAATCCATGGCCAATCCAAAGTCTTTGCTGTGCAATGAATAGAAGTGAAATACCAGGGCATAGGTGGTAATAAGAGTCTTTTCCACATGCCTTCCTTTCAGCATTTTCCCATTGCAGATATTCTGGATTTTACCAATCACCTGAAGATCTATACATCAATCACCTCTGCTTGTCTCATCTCAGAAAATATATTTTCCGTATAGTCACAGAAAAAAATAGAAATTCTATAGATTGTGTTTTCCTTCAACTTGAAAACTGTATAGAATAGAAAGTAATGTAGGTTTTGGAGATAGATAAATTCGATTTGAATTCTGACTCTGTTACACACTGAGTGTGTAATCATAGGCAAGTTATTTGATCTCTGTAAACCTTCTAGGATTGTTATAAGGATAAAATGAAATTAAGTAACGTGATTAGCGTGGTGCCAGGCACATAGTAAATACTTAATAGATAGAGGCTATTATTGCTTCAATTCTGAAACTATCCACTTTCTCCTTTTATCCTCTTTAACAATCAAGTCTTTCACAGTTCAAAAGACACCCACCCACCCATATCCTCAGAAAGTTATTCCATCACCTGTTCTTACATTTTCTGTATCTTTAAACTTTCCCACTCCTCCTTACTTTATAAGTATACAAAAAATCTATGCCATCTGAAAAAATTTACTTTAACTCAACATCAAGATATTACCATAACTCCTTCCCTGAAATCTTGGGCAAATTGTGGAAAGAGTAATCAACATCATAAGTCTCAATTTAGTCCTACTTATCTTCCATCCTCCAACAACTACTCTTTACTGAAAAATTTCTAGAAAAGCCTTCAAGGCAGCATGCTTTCTTAGCGTCCTTTCTCATCCAGCAACGTTCCTTCCTCTGAATGTTTATTACACCAGTAACAACATATATATGCAACATTCTACAAATTTTTCCCCACTTTGGACCTCTGTAATGACTCTACCTTTTTGCTTTATTACTTACTCAGAACCATTCTAATCCCTATATTGCTTTTATTATTGAACTCTTGGTCCTCATTGCATCATTATTTCTCATTTCAACAAATTTAGATAACTCATTTAAATAGCCTTCAATAGAAAATATCCATACTAAGATCAAGTTTAACAGGACATGTATATGAGTTTCT